GCTTATGCTGTTGTGTAGGCTATAGTGGGGTATCCCATAGGGGGTACAACCAATTAGGGTTTCATATTTGTACTCACTTCATTTCATAGTCCATCCATTCTCGTTCTCATTTTCACAGTTGACTGCTGGCGCACTCCCATACCACTTGGTGTAGGGGACCCACTGCTTGTACCCCACAGTCGCGAGCACCCGGTTCTTCACAACGGCGACCTGCCGCAGTGCAGTCACCCAAAACGGATCCGGCAGCCCTGCTCGCCCAAGGAGAGTGCGAGCACCTTCCTGCAGGGTTCGGTTGAACCGCTCAGCCACGCCGTTCTGCTGAGGGTTGTACGGCACCGTGAGCTGATGCTGGATCCCCTTCTTCTTCAGCACCGCCTCAAAATCAGCGCCAATGAATTCTCCCCCGTTGTCAGTGCGGATCACCTTCACTTTGTGTCCGCTCTCCCTTTGAGCTCTCGGCATCCACTCCTTAAGAACAGCCGCTGCCACCTCCCCCTTAGTCTTGAGAGGGTAGACCCACACCGCACGCGTGTGGTCATCCACAATGGTCAGGAAGTAGCGGCTGCCCGAGAGAGAAAGGGCCCTCGTGGGGCCCACCACATCCATGTGCACAAGCGCAAGTGGAGCCTTGGCTGGTCCTGTGCTGCTGCTGAAGGGAAACTTTGTGAATTTGGTCTCAAGGCATGTAGGGCAGCTCCCAATCTCCTTCGCTGCCCCCTTCACCTCCAACCCCTTCAAGCTCCCATCCTTAACCAACTTCTGCAGCATAGGAAAATTCACATGGCATAGCCTTTCATGCCATGTCTCCCAATCGGCCTCACCACTCCCAGGCGAAGCCTTTGCCCATGCAGCTGTCACATCCACACCAGCAAGCACCTCACCATGTGGCTGCTGTGGTTGCTGCACCTTCTTGACTGCATCCAGGGCCCCAACCGTTGGTGCAGTCTCCTCTCCTCCCGCAGTTGCCTTTGCCGTTGCTGCTGCCGCTGCCGTTGCTGGAGGTTTCCCACTCCAAGGGATGATGGGCAGCTGCCACAGGTCCTTGATGCAGCTGTTCTTCTCCTCCAGATCCCACAACAACAGCTTCCCAAGCTTTGCACGGCAGCTGGTTGGGCCGAAGGTCACTTTGGCCTTGCTCTTCTGCAGCCGGCGCACAGAAAGAAGGTTAGCGGACAAACCTTCAACCAACAGCACATTCCCCAGCCCCACAAGCCCCCCATTAGCTCCCATTACCTTGGCATTCCCCACACCAATCACAGGGAGCAAAGCACCTGAAGCGGCAGCCACAAACTTTATCTTCCCGGGGGGTTTTACCTCATCAAGCAAATCTGCCCTCGGTGTCATGTGACTTGTGCAACCTGAATCGATCACCCAGTGAGTGAGGGGATGCATCACAACCTTCCCAACTGAACCCACATCACCCCCATTCCCTTTCACATCCTCAACCATGAGGAACATGCCAGGGTCGGCTTTTCCTTGTGCACCATCACCTTGTGCACCTGAACCTTGCACAGCACCACCTCGTGCACGTTCACCACTTGGCGGCTTCATGCCTGGAGGCGCCCATCCCTCAGGCCGGCTGAAACACTTGAACCACGGATGTCCAGCCTTCTTGTAGTACCAGCAGGCACCCTCCATTCGAGTGCTCCCCCTGCCACCAGAGCTCCCATGCCCCTCATTGTAGTCACCTCGGCCTCTCCCTCTGCCAAAGCTCCTCCCACGGCCTCGGCCTCTCCCACCCCCTCTTCCTCTGCTGCCTCCTGCAGCTCCATACCCCTCAGCAGTTTTGTTGGCAGCACCACCTCCGGTGTGGCGCCTGCGGAAGTCCTCCTGCAGAATATGCTGCCGTAGCCACTCAGGTGTCCACTGGTCCTGCTGAGAGTTGAGGGTGGGGATCAGGTTGTCCCATGAGTTGTCGAGCACCGAGATGATCTTGGTGCACTGCTGCATCTGCGACACATTGCTGCCCGACGCTGCCATCCTCGCATAGGTGTCCTTGATCTTGTCAAGGACCGGCTTCACATCATCACCCGGTCGCATGGGGAAGGCAGCCAGCTCCTTCTCCAACACAATCACCATTGGCAGCGTGTTGGGCTGAATCACATCCCGAAGTAGCTTCCACGCCTTCAGTCCCGAGTCATCGAGCTCCACCAAATCTTTGATGTGCTGGAACATGTCGTTGTTGACCGACTGGAGGATGAGGTCGTACAGCACCGCGCTCTTCTCAATCCAACGATCGCGGGCGTCGCCTTCCTCCGGCATCTTCTCTTCTCCCATCGCAAGTTTCAGCAGCTTGTAGCGCTTAAACGCACTCCGCATCCGCCCGCTCCATTCCTCATAGTTGGAGCCATCCAATGCCTCGATCTTGGATGGTGGCGGTTCATTCCTCTTCTCAGCTGCATCTCCACTCCATTGACTCATTTCCTCTGCTCCCAATCACAGGTTTCAGCTCCCCCCTTTGCTGTCCACACCGAAGATCCACAATATTTTCACAAGTGTCGGCGCCAACGAAATTTCGGCAGAGTTTCCCCTTAGCGGAAGTCGCATCCAACCTCCAGAACTCCACTTAGGCACGCCCACAGGCCATAGTGGGTCTAGGAGGGTCTTCACACTTCAGTAGACTCTCCACAAAGTCCTTAATCAGCTCTGATACCACTTGTTAGAAACTAAGGACGGAGTCTATGAAGATTAGGGGACGAAATATCTAAAAATCGTCAACTATAATTCTGGACAGAAACGTCGTCGTCACAAGAAACGTTGTCGACGAAAACCGCACTGTTAGAATTCCCTCAAACTCGAGTATGTTGTAGCCCTTTACCGTGGCTATCCTTCCCAATTTGAATCGTATCACAATATGGGGTATAACTCGAGTTATGAATTTCGGCGCACTAGGGGGTATGCTGCCATAGAAACTTAACTCAATCACAATTTACTCACAAGTTCACACAAGAAAGTAAGAGTAGCAATAAACCAGGTAGGAGGGAAGAGGAGGACGAGAGGGAAGGTCCCCAATGAGTCCCCAACCAAGGAAACCCCATAGTCACACCAAATCCCTTCCCTATAGGCACCCCAACTTTGACCTTTGTCACTTTCCCAACCTCCACAATCCACCTCACCCCAACTTGGCCACACTTGCCAACCTGGTTTGGGTTTTCCCAACCACATGGCAGCAACTACAGTAGAAGTGACGAATTTCCCAACCCCCAAATGTCTATACCCCTTATGGAGTCAACCCCACAACTTTCCATAGTCGCCACAACCAAATATCAAAAGCATACGAACTTCAAATGTTCGTAACTTTCGTGTTCGTGCTCCGATTGAAGCGATCCTTGGTTCGTCGGAATGCTCTCGAGCAGAGGAGTCACTTCAGATATCTGCTCAAGCCAAATAACATTCACACACACTCAGAAAATCCAAACCACACCAAATACAAATTCTTGCACACGCTCACACCACGCATGCAACGCACGAACATATGATGGGAGGCAGACAGACGTGAATGCAAATGATAGCATCACATAACACGTCGAGCCCAAGAGCCCTCGCCAGGCTCTGACCGGTCCCCACGCCAAGGAGTGGCGTGCTGCTATGGACGCGGAGCTGAGGGCACTGGAATCACGCGATACATGGGTCTTAGTCGATCGTGCAGCAGTGAAGGGGAGAAGGGTGCTAAGCGGCAAATGGGTTTTTTGTCTTAAAACCAACGCTGGCGATACTATCGAGCGCTTCAAGGCACGCTGGGTCGTACGTGGGTACGACCAGCGCCACGGCATTGATTTCGATCAAACCTTCGCTCCCGTCAGCGGCCACACCTCCGTCAGGATTCTACTCGCCATTGCCGTGGCTAAGCACTTACCACTGCGGCAGATCGACGTCAAGAGCACGTTTTTGTACGCGCTGGTGGATGCAACTATCTTCGTGGAGCAGCCACACACCTACGGGGAAGGAGACCCTAGAGTCTGTCAGCTGAAGAAATCCCTCACCGTCACCGTGACAGGTTTCGCAGTGCCCACGGCGAGGTCCCGCTTTGCACATGAGTGCCACTCACACTGCGATCGCTGATGGCCTTAAAGTTAGCATGGGCTTTCGTTCGACCAGAGAATCTCTCGACTGTGCACCAGTTTGCACCAACGCCCCCGTGTCTGTAACTCTTCTTCCACCCGTTTTTCGGCGCTGCCCATGTGATTGAGGCTTGTCACGCTGCACCTCCGCCGTCTGCGAGTCCCGCTGCTGCCGGCCATCCTCGTCCGCGCTATCAGTGCTATTGATCCCAACTGCCTTCTCCGCTGCAGCCCATCCGCGTGTGCTCGACCTCGTGTGACGGCCGCTCAAGGGCGAAGAGACAACTAGTAGCGTCCGGCGGCAGCAGCATGGGGAAGGGCAAGGCCGCGCTTGCGCTGCTCGCCGTCATGGTCGTCATCGTCGCTGGTACGTATCGTGCGCGCTCATGCGCTCATCATGCACCCATGCTCGCAACATGCGCGCTCATGCTCACACCATATTCAATACACACCTCGCGCGAGAATGGACCCGAACCGCAGCACCACACCAGTACCTTTCAGCTTCGGACGATGGCTTGGCAGAACCCCAAGCCAAGTCGGGCCGACTTTGGCGGCCGAGGCACACGCCCTGGCCCCGTGCCCGACACGTGCCCATTCTCACACACGTGCAACACTCTCGCCTCTCACGTGCTCCCATTCTCGCAGCGGGTCACCTGGAGGGCGTGGGAGCCCAGAAGCCGCTGGTGGGCACGCTGATGACCATCAGCAACCGCCCTTTCACCTTCTACCCGCTCCGCCGCTGTGTCGCCATTCCAGCCGACAGGAAGGCTGTTGCTGGTGGGGAGAGAGAGATGCAGGTGTCGTGGCAGCAGGGTGGCCAGGTTACTTGCAAGACGATCCAGTTCTTCCGGAAATCTAGGTGCACCGGAGAGGCAATGGGCACTCTCACGCGAGGCATGCAGAGGTGAGCGTTCGGTTCTCTTTTCTGTTTTGATGCACTCAGTGCCGCTTCCTCACCCCCCGCCTCACCAACAACCCTTCTTTGCACTCACGCTGCCCTCCCCGTGCCCTGCTCAGATACAAGCTGCCCCTGGCAGTGAAGTCCGCCCGCTGCGTCACCCGAACAGCAGCACTTGGCAGCAACACCGCGGCTCCCGATGACAACACCTCACCAACCGATGACAACACCGCAGCTCCCGACGACAACACCTCACCTCCCGATGACAACACAGCAGCTCCCGATGACAACACTGCAGCTCCTGACAACAACACCTCACCTCCCGATGACAACACCGCAGCTCCCGACGACAACACCTCACCTCCCGATGACAACACCGCAGCTCCCGACGACAACACCTCACCTCCCGATGACAACACCACAGCTCCCGACGACAACACCTCACCTCCCGATGACAACACAGCAGCTCCCGATGACAACACTGCAGCTCCTGACGACAACACCTCACCTCCCGATGACAACACCGCAGCTCCCGATGACAACACCTCACCTCCCGATGACAACAATGCAGCTCCCGATGACAACACCGCAGCTCCCGACGACAACACCTCACCTCCTGATGACAACACCTCAGCTCCTGACGACAACAACTCAGCTCCTGCCAGCAGCACCACAGCTCCTGCCAGCAGCACCACAGCTCCTGCCAGCAGCACCACAGCTCCTGCCAGCAACACCACAGCTCCTGCCAGCAACACCACAGCTCCTGCCAGCAACACCACAGCTCCTGCCAGCAACACCACAGCTCCTGCCAGCAACACCACAGCTCCTGCCAGCAACACCGCAGCTCCTTCTGAGTACCCCGATGCACAGAGCCCAAGCAGTAAGCCCCAATGCAGGTTTTCTCCATCCCACCATCCATACCTACCAAATTCAATCTGGTTCCCACACGAGGGAGTACCAAAAATCAATCTGGTTACCAAAAACAATTTTGGGAGCTGGTATCGCTTGCGTCCCTTGGAAGCACGATTGCATTATCAAATCATTTCAGTATTGGTAGCAGCGATGCTCCTCGCCTTCTCTGCCCTTTCTTTCCTGCCGCACGGATCCCCCAATTGTATCCTCCTTGCCACTCGACTGCCTGCCCTCCTCTGCTCCTTGTGTGTGCCCGGCCAGCGGGCGTGTGTGGCAATGACAGAGTCAACCCATGTATGGGCGGCACGTGCATCAACCGCGGCACCCAGGACAGAACCTGCGTCTGTCTGCCCAACCACCGCCCTCAGGGCCGAAAATGTGGTACGCACCCTCACTGCTGGCAATGCTCCATACAACCTAAGTTACAAATAGGCCACTGGCTCATAAAAATATTTTTTTTGGTGCTGAGCATATGCTTACACGTTGGAAAGGTGTGTTTTTATGTTATGTGTGATGCTGGGACCGACTATGGTGCACCCTTATCATCAGTAGGTGCCCACGTACGCAGCATCTTCACCCTATGTGTGTTTCCTCGGATTAAATGTGTGATGCTGGGACCGACTATGGTGCACCCTTATCATCAGTACCTGACCACATACCTGGTACCCTCACTTTTCCCATTGAGCATGTGCAGGTCAGAATTGGAAGGCTGTTTCGTCCATCACAGTCACAGGCAGCGACTGGAGGTGCAAGGACGTGTACACCGTGTATGGCCTCACGCTGCAGCAGTTCACCGCCATGAACCCGGTGAGCCCTGTTCCGTCGATTCGACTATCCGAATTCTGTGCCTTCATTAGGCTTCTCGGGCCATTCATGTTTCTCCCTTCCTCTCTTACCCCCTCCGCCTCTCTCACCCTCTCCCTCTCGTTCCACTCACCACTCCCCCACCATCTCCCTCTCTCACTCCCAATTCTCCTCCAGGGTATCAACTGCTCTGCTCTCCTTCCTAAGGGTCGCGAGCTCGTGGTGAAAGAGCTTCTGTCAAATTGCTCTGCCTTCTACTACGTTCAGCCTGTGAGTCCGACACCTTTTGTCCCAGCCTTCTGCTATGGGAGCATCCCGTGCATCGTGTATGGATAGCGGGGATGCAACTAGTGGCACCATGTGCCGCCATGTGCTGCCATGTGCTGCCATGTGCTGCCATGTGCTGCCATGTGCTGCCATGTGCTGCCATGTGCTGCCACATGCTGCCACGTGCTGCCATGTGCTGCCAAGTGCTGCCATGTGCTGCCACGTGCTGCCATGTGCTGCCACGTGCTGCCATGTGCTGCCAAGTGCTGCAATGTGCTGCCATGTGCTGCCATGTGCTGCCATGTGCTGCCATGTGCTGCCATGTGCTGCCATGTGCTGCCATGTGCTGCCATGTGCTGCCATGTGCTGCCATGTGCTGACATGTGCTGCCATGTGCTGTGCTTCCTCTGCACCCTTCACTCTTCCCCTGACCATCCTTCCCAGCATTGCAATTCGCACTACCCCTTTGTGCACATCCTCCTTCACCCCTGTAGTCCGCCTCCTTCCTTCAACCCCCCTCTCTTCTATTTTCCCCTTCCATTCTGCTTCCACAGGCCGACACATGCTCGTCCGTGGCTCAGTTTCTCAGCATCACCGAGAAGAGCCTGCAGCAGCTCAACCCTGGTGTTACCTGCTCCTCTCGCCTGCTTGCGTTCCGCTCTCTCTGTGTGGAGCGCAACCCAGCCAAAGCCAGTCCGCGATGTGCGAATACGGTACAGATTGGCAGCAGGGTGGACTTCAAGCAGGTGGCGGCATCCAATGGAGCCACCATGGTGGACCTCTGCAGGCTCAACCCCTGGATCTCCTTCCGCGATTCCCCGCGCGACACTGATCATGTAAGTCGAAGGCAAATGACTGAGAAGTTGCTGGTTGTGCATTACTGTGGATACTTATTCTCTCTGTTAGTCGATACATTTTGTAAGATGAGCAGGCCCCGTTTGTCAGGTGTCAAATGTGTTCAAAACAAGATTGAGGCATGCCCTCAACCACATGCTCTGTAAAATTTTATGATTCCGGTCCCTGATTCCTGTGTGTTCCATTTCAAATGGTGCATTCTCTATTGCAGCTTTGTGTGGCTGCCCAATACTCTACAGCTCCTTCGAGCAACACCACAGCTCCTGCCAGCAACACCACAGCTCCTTCTGAATACCCCGATGCACAGAGTTCAAGCAGTAAGCCCCAATGCAGTTTTCAACCATCCCACTATCCATACCTGCCAAAACTGATTTTGGTTCCCACGCGAGAAGGTTCTTTTCGGAGCGTTCTTGCCTTTTCTCTGCCCTTTCTCTGCCCTTTCTCTGCACTTTCTCTGCCCTTTCTCTGCCCTTCCTCTGCCCTTTCCTGCCCCACACATGTTTTCCCGTCTCGTATCCTCCTTGCCACTCCGGTGCTTTCCGCCCTCTGCTCCTTGTGTGTGTCCCCTGTCAGCGGGCGTGTGTGGCAATGACAGAATCAACCCATGTATGGGCGGGACGTGCATCAACCGTGGCACCCAGGACTGGACCTGCGTCTGTCTACCCAACCACCGCTCTCAGGGCCGAAACTGTAGTACGCCCCCTCTCTCTGCTGGCAACGCTCCATACAATAGTGAATGCTGCATGCATATGTTCACACGCTGGAACTCAAGTTGTGTGTTTCACTCAAGTTGTGGTGTGAATGTGTGATGCTGGGACCGTCCATGGTGCACCCTTATCATCAGTACCTGACCACATACCTGGTACCCTCATTTTCCCCAATGAGCGTGTGCAGGTCAGAATTGGGAGGCTGTTTCGTCCATCACAGTCACAGGCAGCGACTGGAGGTGCAAGGACGTGTACACCGTGTATGGCCTCACGCTGCAGCAGTTCACCGCCATGAACCCGGTGAGCCCTGCCACATGCTGCGCCAAACATGTTCTCAGTTGTTGCACGCCTGGGTGCCTCTATTACTTGAGTGGTTCACCGCCATGAACCCAGTGAGCCCTGTTCCGTCGACTATCCCAGTTCCTGCAATACTGTTCACTTATTGAGCATTTCGAGCCATTCTTGTTTCTGCGCCCTCTCTTGCTCACCCCCTCTCCTACCCCTTCCGCCTCTCTCACTGCCTCCCCTCTCTCACTCACCCTCTTCATCTCTCATCCTCTCTTTCTCCATCTGATCCACTGCCCCCTCTCCCTTACCCTCTCCCCCTCTCACTCACCCTCCCCTCCAGGGTATCAACTGCTCTGCTCTCCTTCCTAAGGGTCGCAACCTCGTGGTGAAAGAGCTTCTGTCAAATTGTTCTGCCTTCTACTACGTCCAGCCTGTGAGTTTGGCATGTTGCTCCTGCTATGGGAGCATCCCATGCTTCATAGTTGGATTGGATAACGGGGATGCTACCAGTAGCACCATGGTCTGTCATATGCTGCCATGTGCTGCCATGTGCTGCCATGTGCTGTCATGTGCTGCCATGTGCTGCCATGTGCTGCCATGTGCTGCCATGTACTGCCATGTGCTGCCATGTGCTGCCATGTGTTCAGCAATGTCCCCATGCACCTTACAACTCCCCATCCTTCGCCCAAGCAACATGAAGACCTTCTACCCCCCCCACCCCCCCCTTCCCCCTCCCCCCCGGTCCCCTTTTTCTCAAACGCTCCAAACATTACGTTGCACTACCCCTTCGTGCGCATTCACCCCTGTAGTCCGCCTCCTTCCTTCAACCCCCCTCTCTTCTATTTTCCCCTTCCATTCTGCTTCCACAGGCCGACACATGCTCGTCCGTGGCTCAGTTTCTCAACATCACCGAGAAGAGCATGCAGCAGCTCAACCCCGGTGTTAGCTGCTCCTCTCGCCTCCTTGCCTTCCGCTCCCTGTGTGTGGAGCGCAACCCATCCAAGGCCAGGCCGAAATGTGTGAAGGTGAAGGATCTCGGCCGAGTGGTGGACTTCAAGCAGGTGGCGGCATCCCATGGAGTCACCATGGTGGACCTCTGCAGGCTCAACCCCTGGATCTCCTTCCGTGATTCCCAGAGCAACAAGAGTAGTGTAAGTTTGGGCACATCTTTAGCTGCATTGTTGTGAGGGGTGTACTGTTCTAAATGCTTACATCGCACTGCATTGTCGACATGTGCTGTAGCAATTAACATCTCCAATGTTTCCCAATTGGTGCATGCTTGATTGCAGCTTTGTGTGGCTGCTTCCTATGGGTAAGCACCTCTCCGCCGGCACGTGCGTCCATGTCCAACAGAGTCCCAGTTGGCAGCCATCGTGTCAAATAGTTGACCTCTATAGCAATTTCTTTTCGGTCCCTTTTTAGTCGATGCTGCATCAAAGATGTGGTTTTCTTGGATGAACCTCTGCTGTCTGTGGCTTTAGACCTGTGTTTTTTATACCTTGTACTTTGTTTTTTGTACTACGTATATGGCAAAGAGAGGGGTGCTTGCTTACACGACAGAATTATTCCAACAATCCTACCGGCATCGCCCGGATAGAAGACGGTGTTGAATAGTAGACATGAGTGTCATGAATACGGGTGTTTTCTTAAAGACGGAACTTCCTATTACTGTATTAGGCACCATCTAGACGATATGGGGTAAGACCCCCTATCTAGCACAGGGTGTCTTATAAACAGCATGACAATGTCATTCTCAGTACCGTTTTGTTTTAGAGTCATTGCCTATTGAGAACGTATTACTAACCTGTCAGAATATGTTATTTGTGTAGCCTGCAGTGGGGTACTCAATAGTGAGTACAGCCTTTTAGGGTTTGCTATTTGTATCCTGCTGCTTGCTAGTACAATCATTCCTTCCTCATTTCTGTTCGTGCACACAACTCTCGCTCGTACTTGGCGCCTCGTTCTAGTCTTCCTGTGGCCTAGGCTACTAAGCCTAGGTCCGACTACTTAGTATGTTTGACATAACCAGGCCATATGATATCAGGAATTTTACCATGAAATTCCTGAATTTCATGGAGGTTTTGTGTACCTACCCTGATCTTTCAGTGTTCCGATTTTTGTGGTACTGATTTTCCAGCCTTACTTAGCCAGATGACTCTGAACTTTCAGTTTTTTTTTTTTGAACTGATTCCACTACGTTGTAACGAAACTGACACTAGATGCAATTCCTAACCTTTCCGAGTGGATTTGCCCGGAAGTACAGGGAATCTCATATTCCCGCGATGTAAGCACCGCTTGGAGGTGAATACCAGACAAATTCGTCTAGTGTTATTCACTTTGAGGGCTGTTTTGTTGGCGCGACTGGTCGGATCATTGGCCAGTTTTGCTTCATCATATGGTTCGACCAAGCAGAAGGTTGCAACACAGCGATGATGGCAAGCTGCGATGCGAGGGTTCTGTCCCGTTGCTTGCACCTGTGGCGCGTTTTGCCTATGCCGTGCTGGCAAGCACTGATGCTCCCATGATGGGTTGCATCCACACCGCCCAGCCGTTCTACCAGCCATCCAGGCTCCCTTTCTGCTCCATCCTTTCCATCCGCATGGGGTTTCCTCGCGTTCCTGCCCTGTGTACCAAGAGGCAGTAAGCCGTGTCGAGGGTTATGCCCTGCGCAAGCCTCTTCCTAGTTTAGCTCGTTTAATAGCGCTGCAAGCTATGCCGGACCCCCAGGACGGCATGGAAATTAATGGCGACCAAGGCGATGATGCGCATCGTCGTCCGCCTGTTGACCCATCCGCTGCTGTTACCGGCCTGGATCTGCTTTTCTCCAGCCTAGCGCAAGTTGGCAACCTTGGAAATGCACCTGCAAGCGCGCCGCCCGAATTTTGTCCGTTCGAACCCATCGATAATGAGGGGTTGTGTGCATCCCCTATAGCGCCAGTGATTGAGCAGGACAGCTCCTCGCCTACTGTTAAAAAAACACCAGCGGTACCCATGGCAAAGAAAAACGCCAGATACACGCAGTCGACACTGTCGTGGTGCTCCAAGGGCGGTAACGATGGAGCTAATCTCCCTTCACCAGCCAACCAACAGTCATCGCCCGTGATCGCAGGCACGCAGGTGTCGCCTTCCGTTCCCGGGCCTTCAAAACCGGCAGGCCCTGACTCGATTTACGCGGAGGCTCTGTACAAGTACAAAAGCGAGTGGCTGGAGAGGTTTTCGTGGCTTGTTTTGCTAAAAACTACTGACGGTCTCCCTGCGTGTACTATCCGTACGGAGCACGCAGGATACGCTGGACCATGCGGGAGAGGCGGTAAGGGCGCCACAGACGTGCAGACGCAGGCGTTCAAACGACATGCATCAACAACCAAGCACAAGGAGGCGATCAATAGTCAGGAAAATCTATTATCGGAAGCATCTAGGCAGCCGCGGATCAACGGCGACAATCTTGCTCGCGACACCGAGAAGGCATGTCATCAAGCTTCTCGACTCCCTCCTCTTTGTCACCAAGCAAGATGCGCCCATAGAGTTATGGGTGAATCTTGTTCGCTACCTCGCGGCGCTGAAGGTTCTTGGGTTCCCCTCGAAAGGATATGGAACCTATTACACTACGTGAGTAACAGTTTCCCAAAATTGTAAGATGTTGGTGTGTTTCGGGACTACTAATCTCTGAATTTTTCTGTGTGTGTGTGCTTGTTTGTGTGTGTGTGTGTGTTTGTGTGTTGCACAGATACGGCTTCGGGCAACTCACCCAGTCGATGGCCACGTGGTTGCACACAACGCAACTGCAGCACATCTTATCAAGCACTTACCTTGGCCTTACATGTGACAAGAGCACCGACAGGTGCCGAGGAAAGCACATGATTCTTTTTGCCACTTTCATCCGTGAGAATTGTGTCGTCACTGAGTTCCTTGCCCTGCTGACTGTGGAGAAGGCCGATGCCGCCTCTCTTCTCTCAGTGTTCCTGTCACACCTGCAGGCAATCGGCATTGATATTGCCAGGATCGCCGGCATAAGCACTGACGGCGCGAGTGTGATGATGGGTAAAACAAACGGTCTTGTCGCTCGACTCCGACTCCGCATACCGCATCTCGTCTCAAGCCAATGCAGCGCCCAGAGGTACGTTGTGTTTGCGCTTGTGTTTGCGGTTGCGTTTGTGTTTGCGCTTATGTCTGCGCTTGTGTTCTCGCATGTCTGCATCGGTTGTATTTGCGCTTCACTGGTGTACCATCAAGCAGCCCGTGCTCATGCACTGTTTTGCTTCAATTTGTGTTTTGTTGTGAACTCAGGGAGGCACTCGCAGCAAAAGGTGCAGCTGAAGCACTCCCCGAGTTCGAGATGGTGGACTCGCTGCTCCGCCAGGTGGCTGAGCATCTGGGGCGTTCTGGCCCTTGGCACCAACGGTTCATGTCGCTTCAGGAAGTGTTCACAACCACGAACCTGGAGCTCCAATGGATTCACCAAGTCCGCTGGCTCTCCAGGGGTGACGCCATTCTGCAAGCGATAGAGGTCTTCCCTGCGCTCATCGTCATGCTGTATGAGTGGGACAGTGGTCTGTACGAGCTCGCCACCAGCTACAGGTTTCACTTCCTGTTGTATTTCTTGGCAGAAGTCCTCGAGCAGCTGAACATCTTGAACAAATCATTCAAGCGGCGAGAGGTGAGCATGGGTTCTTGCCTCTATTGTTTTAGCTGGGAGAGGTCAGCAGGGTTACTTGCATCTCTGTGTACACCGTCTGCTGCACCTCACATGAGCAGGGTTACTTGCGTCTCTGTGTACACCGTCTGCTGCACCTCACATGAGCAAGGCTACTTGCATCTCTGCGTACACCTTTCGCACTGATATTTTGTGCATTCCCTATGTTGGCCTTGTCTCCCTATGTATTGTTTCTGTCCGCCCCCAATAGCTTGACAGTGCAGGTGTACATGCACAGATCCGGAGATCTCTGTCTTACCTCGAGTCCCGCTATGTCGACTGTGGTGACGACTTCGGAGGCGGGATGAGCGCGCGCCTATCCCCGTTCATCAAGAAGCACGGGCCTGACGGTGGCCGCCCCGAGGTGAAGGTGCAGGGAGTGGACTCGGACGGTCGGCCGACTACACACACATTCCTGCTGCACGAGAACCCACGCGGAGATTACCCAACCCTTGGAAATCACGACGCCTGCGTCGATCTCTGCACCACGTTCGCTGAAACGCTCGTGCGTAACCTCAGCAAGAGGTTGACCCGGACTCCCTTGTGGGAGTCAGGCTCTTCATGCCAGACGAGTGGGAGCTTGGGAGGGCGGAGCGCCACAAACAGTGTCTCGAGTAGCTCATGTCACTAGTGTCGCTGTTCAGGGCACATGAGACGGACTACATCATTCCAGGTATGTGCTTTGCTTTTGCATACACGTATGTTGTACTTGAGGTTTGTTCTATGCTGGTTTCAAGTGTAGTGTGCACGGGTATGCCAGGCCGTCTAATCCACTCCCTCTCTCCCTTCTGTCTTATCTGACAGGGATCGACAAGCGGCGGGCGATCAAGGAACTGCGTACCTTCTGCCCCATCCTCGCAGGTGCCCCGAAGACGAAGCGCAACTTCCACGCCGGGCTAACAGGGATGCTGAAGACAAGCGACTGGACAACAAGCTACCCCAACCTGGTGCGGCTCTGGGTGGCTGTCGCTGTGCTGCCGCTGAGCACAGTGGAGTGTGAGCGCGGGTTTCCGCGCCAGAATATTATCCAAATCGTGGCAGCGAGGGAGCCTCAAAGACGCCCGCCTTGTGTCAAACTATTATGTTGTGTGTGTTGTGTAGGCTGTAGTGGGGTAGCCCGTATGGGGTACAACCCCATTAGGGTTAGTACATTTACCACATTTCTGTTCAATGCATTCATTCTCGCTTAGTCTTCTGACACCTTGAAGACCTCATCACGCGGTCTCTTCTCGAGTATGAGCCAGACTACGATGAAGTCGTGCAAATATGGCGCAGCTACAAGAAGCGCCGCCCATTTGACAATGTGGCAGCAGCTCCAGCAAGAGAGGGGGAGGGCAGTGGCAATGGAAAGGAGGCAGATGAGGAGGCGGAGGAGGAGTTGGAAGAACCAGAGGCTAACTGCAGTGATGATGATGATTAAATGAACCCTCTGTTGCTGCTGATGCTAGCTAGCTTGCTTGCTTGCTTGCTAGTAGCTATTGTTTCAATATCAGC